GACTTAGTACTTGGTGGCAAAACCCTTGTTGATAATCACAGAGGTCAGACGTTTCTTGTAGTTGGCCAGCAGTTTGCACACATCTCAGGAGGGATTTTGTCCTACTGCTCTTTGCATATCTTCTCCAAGTCATTAAGGTTTCGAGGCTGACATTTGGCAACTCGAACCATCAGCTCCCTCCACAGATTTTTATGGGATTAAAGTCTGGAGACTGGCTAGGCCACTCCAGGACCTTAATGTGCTTCTTCTTGAGCCACTCCTTTGTTGCCTTGGCCGTGTGTTTTGGGTCGTTGTCATGCTGGAATACCCATCCACGACCCATTTTCAATGCCCTGGTGGAGGGAAGGAGGTTCTCACTCAAGATTTGACGGTACATGGCCCCGTCCATCGTCCCTTCGATGCGTTGAAGTTGTCCTGTCCGCTTAGCATAAAACACCCCCCAAAGCATAATGTTTCCACCTCCATGTTTGACGGTGGGGATGGTCTTCTTTGGTTCTTTCGGTAAAGTCACGTAGCAGCATTCCTCCTCCAAACACGGCGAGTTGAGTTGATCCAAAGAGCTCCATTTTGGTCCCATCTGACCACAACACTTTCACCCAGTTGTCCTCTGAATCATTCAGATGTTCATTGGCAAACTTCAGACGGGCATGTATATGTCCTTTCTTGAGCAGGGGGACCTTGCGGGTGCTGCAAACTTTCAGTCCTTCACGGCATAGTGTGTTGCCAATTGTTTTCTTGGTGACTATGGTCTCAGCTGCCTTGAGATCATTGAAAAGATCCTCCCGTGTAGTTCTGGGCTGATTTCTCACCGTTCTCATGATCATTGCAACTCCACGAGGTGAGATCTTACATGGAGCCCCAGGCCGAGGGAGATTGACAGTTTTTTTGTGTTTCTTCCATTTGCAAATAATCGCACCAACTGTTCTTACCTTCTCACCAAGCTGCTTGGCAATGGTCTTGTAGCCCATTCCAGCCTTGTGTAGGTCTACAATCTTTTCCCTGACATCCTTGGAGAGCTCTTTGGTCTTGGCCATGGTGGAGAGTTTGGAATCTGATTGATTGATTGATTGCTTCGGTGAACAGGTGTCATTTATACAGGTAACAATTAGGAGCACTCCCTTTAAGAGTGTGCTCCTAATCTCAGCTCGTTACCTGTATAAAAGACACCTGGGAGCCAGAAATCTTCCGATTGAGAGGGGGTCAAATACTTATTTCCCTCATTAAAATGCAAATCAATTTATAACATTTTTGACATGCGTTTTTCTGGATTTTTGTGTTATTCTGTCTCTCACTGTTCAAATAAACCTACCATTAAAATTATAGACTGATCATTTCGTTGTCAGTGGGTAAACGTACAAAATCAGCAGGGGATCAAATACTTTTTTCCCTCACTGTAGAGACCCACATCCTAATATAGAGACCCATAGCTTCAAGTAAAGAACCATACATTCAAACGAAGACCCATATACACAAATGTAGACCCATAGGTTCACAAAAAAACTCATATAGACAATCATAGCCTCATGCAGATAACCATAAACTCACACAGACTCATAGACTTACATAGAGACCCACAAATTCACTGTGACGACCACAGTCTCACATAGAGATCCATTCACTCACACAATGACCCATAGCATCACATAAAGACTCATAGACTTACATAGATACCCGTAGACTCACATAGCGAAACTATAGACACACATAGAGAACCGGAGATGCACATAGAGATCCATAGAATCACAACGTCACCTATATATTTACAGAGACCCATAGACTTCCACATGGACCGATAGTTTCACATAAAGACCAAAGAACTCACAGGAACATACCTTGACTCGAACAGAGACATAGAGACTCACATAGAGATACATACACTTTCATAGAGACCCATAGTGTCACATGGAGATATATACACTCACAGAGAGATTAATATAATCACATTAAGACCCATATACTCACACAGAGACCCATAGCCTCACATGCCGACCCATACACTCACATAATAATTAATAGACTCATAGAGAGACATAGACTTCCATAATAGAGACCCACAGTCTCACACGGAGAGCCACAGACTCACCTAGAGACCCACAGACTCACATAACTTCACAAGAAGCCAACTCTTACTATTGGCCAAACATCAAATGTATATATGTATGTTGAACTTCTTTCTCACCGTACATAGCCAACCATGCTAATCGGAGGTGATGTAGCAGCACCTTCTCGCTCACGTGGCTGTTTTTTTTTTCTTTCTGGGCACTTGTTTAAAAACACGCAATGATCGGCTGATAAACATATTCGTATATATAGAGGAATGCAGAGCTTGGGTAATTGTTGCAATCGCCGGCTCCTCGCCATCTGGCTGCTGCTGCTGCTGCTACTGCCTTCCAGCTTTGTCTGTGGAGCCTCGGCTATGGCGATCCATACAAATTACATAAACGACGATGCTACCGTATATACCATAGAAACTCATAGAGATCTACGTAGACACAGAGATTCATAGAGCCTCAGAGACTCATATTGACCAATAAAGACCCATAGAGACCGGAACAGACACATGTATAAACGCTCATTGATTGGCTGATATTATCTTTATATATAGCACGGCAGAGCTTGGACAACTGTTGGTGGAAGTGTCATACCGCCTGACTGCTGCTGCTGCTGCTGCCTTCCTGCTCGTGTCTGTGGTTCCTCAGCGACCGTGAGAGATTACATTTGCATGAACGACAAAGGTTCTCAATATGTGACACTTAACATTATTACAGAGACCCATAGGGTTTCATTGAGATCCCACGGAGATCCATATAGACTCATTGAGCCACATAGACTTGTAGAAACCAACAGAGACCCCCTTGAGACCCATAGGGACCAACAAAGTTCCGAATGAGAAGGCTACTGCCAATATCGTGCACACTGCAGCTGATTTCGGTTTGTTGAACAATGAACCTGGTGTGTGATCTAGGAGGTGCTGGAGTGTGGAGTTGGCAAGGGCGGGAGACAGTGGCGAGGAGAAGAGGAAAAGATAAGAAACGCCAGGACAGAAGGAATTGGCAATTATAATGATGATGACATTCATAGCACGCCAGATGTTGCAGACGAGTCAACAACTCAGGGGCGCGGAGCCAATCTTAGGGCTGCTCGAAATCCTGACCCAGACAGACAGAGAGGCCTTTCGACGCTTCTTAAAAGTCAAAGTGCATTTGATTTTGCGGATGTGCAAAGGGATTAGAGTTCCACACCGAGGGGGCGACAGCAGAGAACCGACGTGAGGCTGTAGCAGTATAGTGTCGTGTATAGCGTAGTGTATAGTGTAGTGTATAGTAGGTATAGTATCTTGTATAGTAATGTAGTGTATAGTGAAGTTTAGTGTATAGTAGTGTAGCCCATAGTAGTGCAGTGTATAGTGCAGTGTATATTAGTTGTATGGTGTAGTGTATAGTAGTGTAGTGTATAGGAGTGTATAGTGAAGTGTATAGTGACGTGAGGCTGTAACAGTTCGAGACCCCCTTTGGTGTCCGAAGCAGATTTTGAGTGACGCTGCTGCTGCTGCGTAGGATTCCTACCGTGAGCGTTCAGTGCAAGGCGAGAGCAAGTGAGGCGAGCTATGGTGGAGAACCGGTACAGAGCATTGGCAAATGTTGACCGTGATGCCCGCCCTCAACGGCCTACTCATTGCGAATGACCTCACACGAGATCTGGGACGTCAGCTGTGAGTGAAGCAGATAGCGTGTGGTAGTTTGTTTCACGTCGACGCACAACAGACAGCGCAGTGTTTGCCGGGGCGACGGCCAGCAATTAAAACCGTGAACATCTGCGGCCAGCGCCGAACGTGCTCCCACTTGCGCTGCGTCACCGGATGTAATAGGAGCAGGAGGTAGTGATGGGTGGGACACGCGGTGTGTAGGGTGGTGGAAGGCGGGGACTGCAGTGGCAGCCAGAGGTGGGCGACTGAAGGGGGAGAGATGACCTAAAGCCACAGTAGGGGAGGTGAGGAAGATGAGACTCAATAGGTGCTCGCTAACAGCACTTGCTTAAACAGTCTACATGCCTAAACAATGGGAGATTTCACCGTCCTCGTCCTGACCAATGTATCACCGCTACCTCGACCATCAGAGTGATTAATACCTCACCACTATCATGATAATGAACATCTTCATCATGGACACAATACACTGCCACACAGTCACCATCACCATAACCACCACAACCACCGCAACTACCACCACCACAGACAAAGCTTTCCCGTATAGCCTCAACAGACTATTGGGGCAAGTGCTGTTAGCGAGCACCTATGAAGGCCGGCACGGCACACAAAGGGTGTGAGAGGTTAGCACCACGCCCGACCGCCTTTGTCTTCCTAGTGGCGATATTTACACAACGCACCATGTACTCGTTTGAGGCTGAGTCGACCTAGGAGATGAGGCCCAGGACCGGGTTCACTGGTGTTGGCCGTGAGCGGGAATCGAACTCGGGTTGCCGGGTTCGTAGCGCAGCGCGCTCACGGCTACACTACCGCCCCCTACAATAACCACCACGACCACCACCACAACCACCACGATCATCTCCTATGCATCGTTGCTGCAGCCTCACCCCTCGTGCTGCTCGTCGCGAGTCCGGTGGCGGCTGGGAGAGGGAGCGCTTCATCCAGCAGTGCATTGAGCACGGCTGCTGGTGATGATTTAAGTAGCTGCGGGAGTGTCTGTGTCTCTGTATAGGTTTCTGTCTTGCTTTGTGTCTAAGAGTGTCTCCCCGCGGCTCCCCATGTCTCCCCGTAACCCCGTGTCTCCTCGTGTCTCCCCATGTCCCGCATGGATCTCCGTGTCCCGTGTCTCCCCGTGCCTCCATGTCTCCCCGTGTCTCGACGTGTCTCCCCGTGTCCCCCCGTGTCCCCCCGTGTCTTCAAGTGTCTTTCTGTGTCCCGTGTCTCTCAGTGTCCCCGTGTCTCTCCGTGTACCCCCCCCCCCCGTGTCTTCAAGTGTCTCTCCGTGTCGCCGTACCAGCCGGCGGCCAGCGCGCCTCGTCTCCCCACGTCTCGGTATCGAACTTTGGCGGTGCGAGCTCCGGGCTCCATGTCTCCGCTTCCCGCCTGCCGCTGCTCCACCTCGCGAGTCTGCGAGCTCCTCTCCCGCTGCTGAGAGCGGCCACGGGCAGAGCGCGAGAGAGGGAGAGAGAGCGGGGAGAATCAGAGCAGAGAGAGAGGAGACGGCGGGGAGTCAGCCGAGAGTGGAGGAATGAGAGAGAGAGTGGGGAGGAGAGGGAGAGGAGGGAGGTGAAAAGGGAGGGTGATGGAAGGAGGGGGAGGGAGAGAGGGAGTCTGGAAACGAGAGATGAGAATGGAGAGCGTAGCGAGAAAATTAGAGGGAGGCGATCAATGGGATGCAGGAGAGGAGAAGCGAAAGTAGAAAAATAGAGAGGGGAGAGGGAGAGAGTGCAGCCGTTAGAGGAGGAGGCGAGAATGTGGAGGCATCAATAGAGGAGATTCGAGGAAGAGAGACGAGAAAGAGTAGGCGATTGAGACAGAGCAGAACGAAAGTAGGGAGCTAGTGCAAAGACAAAGATCCCCCGTATAGGCTGTAACAGAATGTTGGGGCAAGTGTTGTTAGCGAGCACCTATGACGGTCAACACGGCACACGATGGGGTGGGCGGGCCGACACCACGCCCGGCCGCCTTTGTCTCCCTCGTGGCGATGTTTACACACCGCACCAGATACTCATGTGAGGCTGAGTCGACTTAGGGGAGGCCCAGCGCCGGTTCAGATAATCGTCACAGGTGTTGGCCGCGAACGGGAATCGAACTCGGTGCGCCAGGTCCGTAGCGCAGCGCGCAATCCGCTACGCCACCGCTCCCCAGAGTACATTAACATCTCTACGCGCACGTGATGAAGACAACGATCTTCCATATAGCCTGAACAGACTGTCGGTGCAAGTGCTGTTCGCGAGTAGCGCCTATGAAGGTCGGAACGGCGCATGACGGGGTGGAGTGGCTAGCACCACACCCGGCCGCCTTTGTCTCCCTGATGTTTACACACTGCACTCAGGTACACATTGAAGGCTGAGTCTACCTAGGGGAGGCCCAGGAACGGTTCGATTTTCACACACACACTCACACACTCTCTCACACACACACACTCTGACAAATCAACAACCGCCATTCGCCACTAAGTGGCGGTGACGTCACCACGACGCTTGTGCCAGGACACGTGCACCTTGAGGCCACGTGAATTGTCGAAGGCCCGCTGGCAGGAGGTCACGGGGCAGACCCAAGTGCCACGGGTTGACTGACTGAGATAACTGGCTGATGCACCACCTGTGCCCCCTACTGTGCCAACTTGCTGTGCTTTAGCCACCCGGCGCTCCGCTCGTTGTTGTTGGAGGGCGACTGCCTCCAACTGCCCAGTATCGTCCTTCACGAGCCTCCTCCACTGAGGCCGATCTTGACACCGCTGGTACCAGTCATCGGCAAGTCTACTCAGCTCCACGTCCTCCTGTATCACATCACTCCATCTCTTCTCTAGCCCGTGCCGCGCCCGTTTAGCCCCCTCGATCCGGCCGAACAAAAGCTGTTTCGGCATGCGGTGGCTGGGCATGACCCAGCCAACGCAGCCTTGCCTGCCGGTGGAGCTCACCGATGGGACTTGCCCAGATCTTTCAAGTATTTGTGAGCTCCTCACACAATCCAGCCTGGTTAAACCCAGGATGAATCGTAGGCAGGCCAGCTTAAATGTTTCTAATCGGCGAAGATGCTCCATTAGGGGGGTCCACGTTTCGCAAGCATAGGGAAGAGAGGGAATGACCGTGGCTGAGAAGACACACACACTCTCTCATACTCACACACACAATCATTCTCACACACTCACTCACTCTCACACACACTCACTCTCACACACTCACTCACTCTCACACACACTCACTCTCACACATTCACTCACTCTCACACACACTCACTCTCTCACTCTCACACTCACTCTCACACACACTCATTCTCACACACTCACTCACACACACACTCACTCTCACACAAACTCACTCTCACACAAACTCACTCTCACACACACTCACTCTCACACACTCACTCACACACACACTCACTCTCTCACTCTCACACACACACTCACTCTCACATACTCTCACACACACTCTCACACTCACTCACACACACTCTCACACACACTCACTCTCACACACTCACTCTCACACACTCACTCTCACACACACACTCACTCTCACACACACTCACTCTCACACATTCACTCACTCTCACACACACTCACTCTCACACTCTCACACTCACTCTCACACACACTCATTCTCACACACTCACTCACACACACACTCACTCTCATACACACTCACTCTCACACAAACTCACTCTCACACAAACTCACTCTCACACACACTCACTCTCACACACTCACTCACACACACACTCACTCTCTCACACACACACTCACTCTCACATACCCTCACACACACCCTCACACTCACTCACACACACTCTCACACACACTCACTCTCACACACTCACTCTCACACACTCACTCTCACACACACACTCACTCTCACACACACACTCACTCACACACACTCTCTCACTCTCACACTCTCACACACACTCACATCACACACACTCACTCTCACACTCTCACACACACTCTCACACACACTCTCTCACACTCACACTCTCACACACTCTCACACACACTCACTCTCACACTCTCACACACACTCACAGTCACTCTCCCTATCGCACACAGAGACTCGCGCGGCATGCCTCGGCTGTGGAGCGGGGGAACTCTCCAGGGGTAGAGTTCGCGTTGGGGGAACTCTCCAGGAGTAGAGTTCTCGTTGGGGGAACTCTCCAGGGGTAGAGTCCGCGTTGGGGGAACTCTCCACGGAGAGAGTTCTCGTTGGGGGGAACTCTCCAGGGGAGAGTTCGCGTTGGGGGAACTCTCCACGGGGGAAGTCCGCGTTGGGGGAACTCTCCACGGGTAGAGTTCGCGTTGGGGGAACTCTCCAGGGGGAGAGTCCGCGTTGGGGAACTCCACGGGGGAAGTCCGCGTTGGGGGAACTCTCCACGGAGAGAGTTCGTGTTGGGGGAACTCTCCACGGGTGGAGTCCGCGTTGGGGGAACTCTCCACGGGTAGAGTTCGCGTTGGGGGAACTCTCCAGGGGAGAGTTCGCGTTGGGGGAACTCTCCACGGAGAGAGTCCGCGTTGGGGGAACTCTCCAGGGGTAGAGTCCGCGTTGGGGGAACTCTCCAGGGGAGAGTTCGCGTTGGGGGAACTCTCCACGGGGGAAGTCCGCGTTGGGGGAACTCTCCACGGGTAGAGTTCGCGTTGGGGGAACTCTCCAGGAGGAGAGTTCGCGTTGGGGGAACTCTCCACGGGGGAACTCTCCACGGGGGAAGTCCGCGTTGGGGGAACTCTCCACGGGTAGAGTTCGCGTTGGGGGAACTCTCCAGGGGTAGAGTCCGCGTTGGGGGAACTCTCCAGGGGTAGAGTCCGCGTTGGGGGAACTCTCCAGGGGAGAGTCCGCGTTGGGGGAACTCTCCACGGGTAGAGTTCTCGTTGGGGGAACTCTCCAGGGGGAGAGTTTGCGTTGGGGAACTCTCCAGGTGAGAGTTCGCGTTGGGTTCCCACGGCGGCGCCGACTCTCATCTGGATCACACAGAGAGATGGAAAGAGGGAGCGCATGCGTGTGTGTGAGAAAGGGAATGTGAGGGTGCCCGTGTGTGTGAGAGGGTGCGTTGTGTGTGTGTGAGAGAGCGAGAGAATGACACGGTGTGTGTGCGCGCGAGAGGAAGACTGTAACAGAGAGTGTGTGTGTGGCAGTGCGAGAGAGTGTGTGTGTGTGGTAGTGCAAGAGTGTGAGTGTGTGTGGCAGTGCAGGAGTGTGAGTGTGTGTGGCAGTGCGAGAGTGTGTGTGTGTGTGTGACAGTGTGTGAGTGTGTGTGGCAGTGCCAGAGTGTGTGTGTGTGTGACAGTGTGTGAGTGTGTGTGGCAGTGCCAGAGTGTGTGTGTGTGACAGTGCGAGAGTGTGTGTGTGTGACAGTGTGTGAGTGTGTGTGGCAGTGCCAGAGTGTGTGTGTGACAGTGCGAGAGTGTGTGTGTGTGGCAGTGCGAGAGTGTGTGAGTGTGTGTGTGTGTGACAGTGTGTGAGTGTGTGACAGTGCGAGAGTGTGTGTGTGACAGTGTGTGAGTGTGTGTGTGGCAGTGCGAGAGTGTGTGTGTGTGTGGCAGTGTGTGAGTGTGTGTGGCAGTGCGAGAGTGTGAGTGTGTGTGTGGCAGTGTGTGAGTGTGTGTGGCAGTGCGAGTGTGTGAGTGTATGTGGCAGTGCGAGCGTGTGTGTGTGTGTGTGGCAGTGCGAGTGTGTGTGTGTGGCAGTGCGAGTGTGTGTGTGACAGTGCGAGAGAGTGTGTGTGTGTGGCAGTGTGTGAGTGTGTATGTGACAGTGCGAGCGTGTGAGTGTGTGTGGCAGTGCGAGTGTGTGTGTGTGTGGCAGTGCGAGTGTGTGTGTGTGGCAGTGCAAGAGTGTGTGTGTGGCAGTGTGTGAGTGTGTGTGTGTGGCAGTGCGAGAGTGTGAGTGTGTGTGTGCGTGTGAGCGCGAAAGACAGTGACAGGGTGTGTGTGTGAGAGTGAGAGAGGCTATGTGAGAGTGAGAGTGTGTGTGTGAGAGAGAGGGTGTGTGTGGGTGTGAGACGGAGAGAAGCTGTGTGTGTGCGTGCGCGAAAGACAGTGACAGGGTGTGTGTGTGAGAGACAGACGGTGTGTGCGTGTGTGAGAGAGCGTGAGTTTGTGTGTGAGACGGAGAAGGTGTGTGTGTGTAAGAAAAGGTGTGTGTATGTGTGTGAGAGAAGTTGTGTGTGTGCGTGAGACAAGGTGTATGTGTGTGAGACGGAGAAGTTGTGTGTGTGTGTAAGAGAAGGTGTATGTGTGTGAGACAGAAGTTGTGTGTGTGCGTGAGAGAGCGTGAGTGTGTGTGACGGAGAAGTTGCGTGTGTGTGTGTAAGAGAAAGTGTATTGTGTGTGAGAGAAGTTGTGTGTGTGTGTGAGAAAGAGAGAGTGAAGGAGGGAGGCTGTGTTTGTGAGAGAGAGAGAGAGAGCGGGTGTGTGTGTGTGCATGACAGTGTGAGACTGTGATAAGCTTTGTGTGTGTGTGCTAGAGGGACAGCGTGGGAGGCAGGGAGGCTGTGTGTGTGTCTGTTCTCGTGTGTGCGATGGGACCTCCATAGGTTCTCGCTAACAGCACTTGCCCTAACAGTCTGCTGAAGGCTATACGGGGAAATCTTTGTTTTTTGTATGTACGTGTATGTGTGTATGTATGTATTTGTGTGTATGTACGTGTGTACACGTGTATGATTATGTGTGCTTCCACGTGCAAGTGTGTGTGTACACGTGTGTGTACACGTGTGTGTACACGTGTGTGTGTACACGTGTGTGTGTGTGTACACGTGTGCGTGTGTGTGTACACGTGTGTGTGTACACGTGTGTGTGTATACACGTTTGCGTGTGTGTACACGTGTGTGTACACGTGTGTGTGTGTACACGTGTGTATGTACACGTGTGTGTATACACGTGTGTGTGTACACGTGTGTGTATACACTGTGTGTGTACACGTGTGTGTACACGTGTGTGTGTACACGT